TGGCTACGGGTCATGCACTACCTGCACACACTCAAGCAAGCAAACCCGTGAAGGCACAAGTGGGACAAAGCAAACAAAGGAAAAAGAAAAGCTAAATTAACAGAAATCACTTTCCTTCAACAACGTAGCCGTCCCCGGCAACGGCGCCAAAAACTTGACTCACTTCTACTGTCACCCTATGAATTGGCCAAGTGTAACCACTTCCTAAAGCGTAGTATAGCGGGTTTAGGTTTAATTATCAACCCGGGTCCTAGATTTGATGACTACTCAGTGAATTCTTGTTATCTAGCAATGAAACTGGAATGCAAGTCTAAATTACCAAACAAACAAAGCAAGTAAACTGTTGTATTCAGGTTAAGAGAGGTCACCCGGATATGGTTCCCCCTAGACTGCAGTTAAGCCGGATTGTAATTACCAAGTTCAGTTTCTATGATAGTTATACTGCGGAAGGTTCTTAAACAGCCTGAAGTCTCGACTAAAGGTCTTCAGACCCTCTCAATCTGAATCTCTAGCGGGCGACTAACCTCCACCGGAGTAAACAGATTGAGGCCTTAACAAACAAAACCTCCACTACCGGAGTGAATCCAGTACATAATAGTGAGTTGGCTCCTCGACTAAAGTCACCAACTCCCTACCTTCAATCAAGGATGCTCTATCAACCTAGGCGATATTCTCATTCTAGGTTAAAGCAGAAACAACAGGAATTTGATCAGGATTCAAGTCATTCAATCATTCAAACCTTAATCGAATATAATCAAATCATAGAATCAGTACTTGGGTTCATACAATCAAAGCCTAACATACAAATCTAGGGTTCTCCATACCCAGATGAATGGGAGAACTACTCGATAGAGAAAGAAGCAAAAGCAGAATCAGACGCGGAATTCATACTGTGAAGGATGGATTCCTGCTCCTGGATGTTGATCGGCACTTCTGCAAGCTCAAGCTGGCCTCCAATGGTGATGAAGATCAATCTAGGGCACTTGGAGACTCTTGTTCGTCGCTTTCTCTCTCTAGGAATCGTTCTGTCTCTATAAAACTCGAATCCCCTTGACTTGTGGCTGGAAATCTGCTTAAAAGCAGAAAATCCCGACTCACACGGGCAGGCTGCACGGCCGTGTGGCCCACCCAGTTGCCCGTGCGAGTCAAAACGCAGCGTATCAATTAGTTGAATTCCAGGCTTCTTGCACGGCCAGGGTCGCACGGCCGTGTGAAATTTCCACCCTGCCCGTGTTTGCTCTCGCAGAATTCCACACGGCCAAAATGCATCCTCACACGGCCGTGTGGATTTTTTGCTCTGCCTGTGTTTGCTCTCGCACAATCCCACACGGCCAAACTGGTCACTTGCACGGCCGTGTGGGTTGTGGGTGTGCCCGTGCGACCTCCTTTGTGACTCGTCTCGCGCCCGATCTTCGCTCAATCGACCCCGAACTCGCTCCTAAACCTTCATTCACTTGCCAGGACTTGAAATATCACAAACAAGCACAACCTAGCGTGAAATCGGTCTAAAACACGAGAAACCACATCTCAAACGGTGTAAGAACAAGGGTGAAAACATGTGTAACTAACGGTCTATCACCTTACCCTTCCTGACTCATTGCTAGGCCATAAAAAATCTGAACAAAACTTATGAATTTGCTTAATGACACTCTTGGGCAAGATAAAGATACCTAACCAATATTGCATCACTAACGCAATCAGTTCTAGTCTGCCAGCATTAGTGAGTTTACCATATCTCCATGAGTGAATTTTGCTAACGATTTTGTAAATTAACATATCACATTCTTTTGCAGAGAGCTTACCAGCCACTAGAGGGAGCCCTAAGTACCGTACATGTAATTTTCCTTCCTGGAACCCTGTAAGATTTAAAGCAATGTCTCTGGTTTCTCTATAGGTGCATCCAAAATAAACAAGACACTTATCCGGACTGCATTTAAGCCCTGAAATGGAGTAAAATTTATCTAGTACACGTCTAATGCAAGTAAGAGCCCATCCTGATCCCTCTGAAAAAATTTATAAGTCATCTGCAAAGCACATGTGTGTCAAACCTATAGATTTGCATTGCGGATGAAATGACAACTGATTAATACGAGTAGACCTGTTAAGCATAAGAGAGAGGACCTCGATGACCAAAGTGAAGAGATAAGGAGACAGTGGGTCAACCTGTCTCACCCCTTTGCAAGCTGGAAAAAATCCACACAAGCCTCCATTTATACAAACGCCGAAGAAAGCAGATGACAAAAAAGATTTGATCCAATTGATAAAAAGCTGAGGAAACTGCATGAGTCTAAAGCTTTCATGAGGTCCACTTTGAATGCACATCAAGAACTGATATTCTTATGTATGTATTTAGAGACCATTTTTTGCGTCATCAAATGTTTTTTGTGATGCTTCTCCCTTTTATAAAGGCTGACTATTTTTTCTTCTGAAAAAACAGAGGAAAAGTAATTTTGCAATAATTCCAAAGGAGAAAAGGATTCGAATAATTATTTTGAATGGTAAATTTTATGAGGGTAAGGATGAAGATGAAGGTGATGATTACGATGAGGGTGAAGATAGTGATGTTGAGGACATAGATGTCAATGTTGATCATAACGATCTTATGTGAGTTCTCATGTTGCTTATTTGTGTGTTTATGTATGTACAAGAAGAAATACATGAGTTTATTTGTGTTTATTTAGGAGACAAATTTTTATTGTGAAATGATTAATTGATATATGGTCGATTGTTACTATTCTAATATAACCTTAAAATTTTACGATTTTAATATCCAAATTTGTTTTTATCTCAATTTTCGATTTTACAATAATCACAAACAAAATAATAGCCAAACCTTTTGAAAAACAAAATAATATCCAAATCATTAATTTTCTATCCTATTTACCGTCAGTTGACTCTAACGTGGTGTCATAATCGGGAGAGCTCAATTACTACGATATTGTTTGCTTTGGGCCAAGCCCACACGGTTTTACTCTTGGTTGTCCTCCCCAAAAGGCCTTGTACTAATTTGGGTAGGTGGACACTTATATACAAGGGTTCCTTCCCTTGTATTTAGAGACCATTTTTTGCGTCATCAAATGTTTTCTGTGATGCTTCTCCCTTTTATAAAGGCTGACTATTTTTTCTTCTGAAAAAACAGAGGAAAAGTAATTTTGCAATAATTCCAAAGGAGAAAAGGATTCGAATAATTATTTTGCATGGTAAATTTTATGAGGGTAAGGATGAAGATGAGGGTGATGATTACGATGAGGGTGAAGATAGTGATGTTCAGGACATAGATGTCAATGTTGATCACAACGATCTTATGTGAGTTTTCATGTTGCTTATTTGTGTGTTTATGTATGTACAAGAAGAAATACATGAGTTTATTTGTGTTTATTTAGGAGACAAATTTTTATTGCGAAATGATTAATTGATATATGTTCGATTGTTACTATTCTAATATAACCTTAAAATTTTACGATTTTAATATCCAAATTTGTTTTTATCTCAATTTTCGATTTTACAATAATCACAAACAAAATAATAGCCAAACCTTTTGAAAAACAAAATAATATCCAAATCATTAATTTTCTATCCGATTTACCGTCAGTTGACTCTAACGGAGTGTCATAATCGGGAGAGCTCAATTAGTACGATATTGTCTGCTTTGGGCCAAGCCCGCACGGTTTTACTCTTGGGTGTCCTCCCCAAAAGGCCTCGTACTAATTGGGGTAGGTGGACACTTATATACAAGGGTTCCTTCCCTTGTATTTCAGATGTGGTACTTGGATTGTCCCATAACTATCCTCCCCTCAAGACAAGGACCACAAACTTCGTGTCCTCACCTCAGCGATTATCTTGATCCGCAAGACGCCTTGTATCGATGGGCTTCTCGGTACAAGGATTTTACCAGACACAGAATTTTGATCTGCTTCCCAAATGCGGAACTCTCTTTGATCCGCCAAAGCCCAAACGTGGATCTCCTGGATCCACCAAACGGACGCGAATCACCTTTGACCCGCCAGACCAACGCAGATCTCAAACCCCAAGGTCACCGAATGAGGGTCCCACCAAATTGACGTCCATCGCCCCGAATCCGCCGAATTAGGCTCTGATACCACTTGCCAAGCCCACATAGTTTTACTCTTGGGTGTCCTCCCGAAAAGGCCTCGTACTAATTGGGGTAGGTGGACACTTATATACAAGACTTCCTTCCTTTGTATTTTGGATGTTGTACTTGGATTGTCCCATACACGTGGCAATTTAATTGCTGAGTTTGACAAATTTTGATGATGTGGCAAAACGTCTTTGTTTGGTTGTACTTTATTGCAATTTAATAATCTTAACATTATTTTGTAATTTTTAAAACAATAAAATAAAAATAAACACTCATCAGATTTGAAATCCTTAATCTCCTCGTCGCCTTCATTCTAGCATTCACAGTTGGCGGGATTAGAAGCTGGCAGTGGTAGAGGCAAGGGATGGATATTTTGACCTGACCCGTTTTATCCACCCTGTTTGACCTGTTTTGGGGCGGGGCGGGGCGGGCATGGGTACCTCTCGTCGACCCGACCTGCCCCATTCTCGGCCCGTTCTTGCCTAAATTACATGTAATCTTAGTCAAATTACTTAGAATTTTCCTCATATTAACTCATTATTTAGCTATAATAAAGTTGTAAATAACTGAAAACCTCAATTTCTCCAATACTTAAACTACAATTTATCATATTATGGTTTGTTTCTTGGTCTTTTAATGAAAATAATAAATATTTTTAAAGGTTTTCACATAAATTACATACCCATTTGGTCGACCTGCCCCGACCCGTGCCCCATGATTAATTACACGACCTGGACCCGACCTGCCACGAGGCGGGTATGGGTATCGAGATACCCGGCCCGGACCTGCCCATTGCCATTCCTAGTAGAGGCGTAGGGCAGACCTACGTCTTATTAGAACTGCAGAGTACTCTGCTCTGTATGAGTATAAATAACCCATCATTCTCTGCAAGACTGATCAATTCGCTTCAACCGGAGGAAAAACATAATCAAGTGTCAACAAAGCCAACAGATCCATGGAGCTGCATCAATGGCTCAATCGACATTCATTCTCGTCGAGTACCACCTCCCAGTAGTCTGTTCCATCTAGTGATCCTGTTTCTTTGTTTCTTTCCCATTTAATACAATCATCATCATTATAAAAAAGTAGTACCCAAAGCTCTGAATCCCAAAATGGTTTTAGTAAGCATGACTAGTTAAGTAGCCCTCTTCGTGTTATAACCATTCATGGCGCAAGGCTACAGAATCCCATCAATGGCTACAGAATCCCATACTTTCCTTGTTTTTCCTGCTCAAAATTTGAAGGAAACCCAACAAGAAACTCAACCTCCCTCCAGCCCTACTGACCCTCCCACTGATCGGAAATCTGCACCAAGTCAGCGTTTTCCTGTACCACAACCTGAAATTGCCCGTTGACAACTACGGCCCCTCCAAGATCCTCCACTTTGGCACCGTCCCGACCTTCATCATCTCCTCTGCCCAGGCCTCCGAAGAGATCATGCGTGACCACGACGACGTTTTCCTCGTCCGTCCCCGCCTCATGACACGCTAAAACACAACACCAAACTGCGACCAAGTGTAATCGCAGTCCGGAAATGCAGTAACAGGCAAGCACTAATTGTCAACCCGGGGTCTAGATCTACTGCCTACTCAGTGAATATCTATTATCTAGCAAACTAAGTCGAGTGATTGTGATTTTAACTAAAAGCAATAAGAAAGCAGGAAATTGGTTCAAAGTTCTTTAGCAAGGGAAGAGTCACTCGGGAATAAGTCCCCCTAGCTCCTTAGTTAGGTCACAGTTGTAATTAATTTTGGTTGCTTTACTGCTGATTATATTGCGGAAGATCCGACAGTAGTTTGGAATCTCTTAAGCTGACCAAGCCCTCTCAGTCAAATTACCCGGCAGATGACTAGTCTTCACTAGGATAGAACGCTGATGCAATGAACACAAAACTCCACTACTGGAATTAGATTCCAGTACAAAGCAGTGAATTGACTAACTCTCATATAATCGATTCACTACTACCGATTGGAGAAGCTCTAACAACCTAATCAGATTCTATCTATCTCAGGTTGCAGCAAAAATCAATAAAAGATGATCAGACTTCAATTGACTCATTCAAAACACTTCAATCGATTATAATCAAGCAATATCACAATCCAAACGTAATTACAATCAAGATTCCTAACACATGGAACTAGGGTTCTTCATACCCAAGTGAGAGAAAGTTCTACTCCATAGAGCGAGAGAGGGAAACAGAATACAAAGCAGTCATACTCATAACAATGGGAAGAATATGCTCTGGGATGTCAATCTTCACTCCTGGGGATGCAATCTGGGCTTCGATGGTGAGAAATCCTCTCCAAATAGCTTCTAGGATTTGTTCTTTGCACTTTGTGTGTCTAAAACTCTGTTTTGGCTCCAAAAAGTCGATTCCCTCTCCTTTGGCTCGAATCTGCCTCAAAAACCCGATTCAGAGTGAAATACGGGCTGAATTACGGTCGTAATCATGATCTGCCCGTAATTCACCCAAAACGCGCGTTTCACTAAACTCTAATGAAGGTAATTACGGTCGTAATTACCCAATTACTGCCAGTATTTAAGTAATTACGACCGTAAATGAGTCCACTCTTGCCCGTAATTTGCTCTGCGGCAGGAATTCTCATGGATTTAGGCTCGGCATTGCATTTACGGGCATGAGAGAAGCAATTACGCCCGTAATTGGGCAGGGGCTGCTCGTAATTCTTCATCCGCTCCTGTTTAATGCTTTGTTTCTCCCTCGTCCGGACTCCGAATCAGTCGTCGTTTGAACCCAGACGCTCGTAGTCTCGTCCTCTTTCTTTTCAGGAAAATATTCCATGATTATCTGTCCATAATATGAGGTAGAAATCAATTCTTCCTCAGGTCTTGCTCGTGTTTCTTCTCCCGAATTGCCAAATGAATTCCGAATGACTTGAAACTTGCGCCTTTGCTCCAATTTACATGCTAGGACCTGAAATGTGACAAAAGAACACAAACTAGCGTAAAATAGTCCAAGAAATCAAAAACTCAAGCCAAAATGATCAAGAAACGAGGGTGCAAACATGTGCAAATACGATGTTATCAAATTCCCCCACACTTAATCGTTTGCTTGTCCACAAGCAAACCAAATCAGATACAAGGTAAGCTCGAAACATCTCAATCATGAAAACCTTGGGGACATATCACATAGGCACAAAACACGAGAATAAAACTGGATTTTAAACATCAACACATGAACAAATTCAACCGCAACCTGGACAACCACCATAGAGGACATTCGAGTGCAGCAAAATCGGGTAAAGAAAGAGTCTCCCTTCTGTTCACCAACCAACCTAGACTTGACTCAACCACTTATTCAAGACATTCAGCTCATGCATAAAACTCAAGACATCAAAATCAAGACCGAGCCATCTAGGTCCTCACCGGGGTAAAGAGTGTAAAGAACAAGGAAATGAATCGCTCACTCTCGACCAGTGGGGTCAGGGCAATTTGATGCAAAAAATGCGCATACTTATTCTCTCAATACCTAACGTCTCTTCACCATGACGGCAGCCTCTAAATGTTAGAGTTCACATAAATGGGTGTCATCACTAACTAATCCGGAGGTCTTAGACACAGGTTCAAATGACTGGCTAGGGTCTTGGACATGGGGAAAAGGCCTTTTAGGTGGTGGAAGTATTCATAGCACACGGTTCCATAGTTCCAAACCCAACACATTCACCGCCAATCAAACCACTTACTTTCTTTCTGCCATTCTACATTACCCAAATTGTTTAGAGCACAAGAGCGAAGGAGGTCACAATAATGTTAGTGTTTCTAAGCCAAACTGCTAAGAAACACTACTTACTGAGCATGATTCATATTTTTGGTAGTGGCTCTCTTTAGCTTTCATCCATTTTTCTTCTATTTTTCATTTCTTGAGAGAACCACTGATGACTCGATATTTGCACATGTTTTCCCCTTTGTTTCTTGATCGTTTAAGCTTGCATTATCGCTTCTTTGGCCTATTTTACGCTAGGTTGTGTTCCTTTGTCACATTTCAGGCCCTAGCAAATAAAGTGAAGCATAGGCGCAAGTTTCAAGTCAATCAGAGATCAATTGGCGATTAGGGAGAAGAAACACGAGCATGACCTGAAGAAGAATGGATTTCTACCTCACTTTATGGACAAAGAATCATGGAAGTTTGTTATGAAAAGAAAGAGGACGAGACTACGAGCGTCTGGGTTCAAACGGCGACTGATTCGGAGTCCGGACGAGGGAGAAACGAAGCTTTGAACAGGGGTGGAGGAAGAATTACCGGCAGGAGAATTACGACCGTAATTTCCCCTCCCATGCCCGTAATTTCACTGCCGAGAGGAGCTTTGGGTGCACTGAAACTTAACCAAAACGCGTTTTTTGGTCAAAATACGGGCATGGAAGAATTACGACCGTAATTCAGCCCGTAATTCGCCTAGAATCGGGTTTTTGAGGCAGATTAGAGCCAAAGGAAAGAGAGAACTGGGTTTTGGATCCCAAACACCCAAGGGACGAACCATAGAGAGAGAGAGCGACTTGGGAACATTCTTGGAGCTATTTTGGAGGATTTCTTCGCCATTGGAGCTCGGGAATCAAGCTTGGAGATGGAGATTGAAGATCTAGATCAGATTTCTGCAGTCTCTCTCTTCTCTATGGAGTAACTTCCCTTCACTTAGGTTTTGAGGAACCCTAGTTCCATGAGTTAGGATCTTTCTTGTATGAAGTTTTGGATGCTATATTGTTTGATTATAATCGAATGATGCATGTTTATTGAGTCAATTGAAGTCTGATCAACTTTTCCTGATTTCTGCTGCAACCTGAGATAGATAGAATCTGATTAGGTTGTTAGAGCCTCATCATTCGATAGTAGGAGATTGGCTATACGAGAGTTAGCCAGTTTACTGCTTTGTACTGGAATCCAATTCCAGTAGTGGAGTTCTGTGCTTATTGCTTCAGCTTTCTATCCCGGTGAAGACTAGTCGTCTGTCGGATAGTTAGACTGAGAGGGCTTGGTCAGCTTAAGAGATTCCAAGCTACTGTCGGATCTTCCGCAGTTTAATCAACAGTAAAACAACCAAAAGGAATTACAACTTGGACCTAATTGAGGAGCTAGGGGGAATCATACCTAAGTGAGTTCCCAAACTGTAATTAGTAGTTTTACTTAGTTTAGTTAGTAGAGTAGTTTAGTTAATCAATCCTTAATCTAGTTTGCTAGATAATGAACTGAAGCTGAGTAATAGTAACTCTAGAGACCCGTGGATTCGATATTTATTACTTGTGCCACTATACTGCAGTCCCTTTCATTGGTTACACTTGGCCATTGTTAGGTGTTGTGTTTTAGCGTGTCAAGTTTTTGGCGCCGTTGCCGGGGACTTTCTAGATTATTAGGAAAGGCAGAAGTTTGTTACTTTAGCGTTTTTCTTTTCTTTTCCACCCTTGCTTTTCACTTGGGTGTTTTTTGTTTTTGTTGATGCAGATCTGAATCATGGATCCGCATGGCTTCTCCAACCAGTGGGGGTATCCACCACCATCCGAGTGGTATTACCCCGAGACTCCCTGGAGCAATCAAGGAGGAGAAGACTATGGATTCGGGTTCCAGTACCAACCCCCTTTCTACGGAGAACAACCAGACCCCTGGGCATATCAAGAACAACCTCATTACCAAGAAGACTTTCTCCCACAACCAGAAGGGCCGTCGGAGCTGGAGTTACCCATGGCAGCCTTCACGGGCCACTCTGCAGAGCCATGCTACACTTCACTAGAAGATCCGAACAAACAATTAAGGCTTCTCGTGGAGCAGTTTGCTCGAGACACTGAGAGATCCTGCTCCAAGATGGATCTTCAAATTCAAGCCCTTGCCTCTTCCGATCCCTCATTTCTCCATGATATGGAGGAGACTGTTCAGCGCTCAGCGAAGCAAACAGAGTGGGTGGAGCAAGTTTGCTCACATCTTGCTCAAGATCACCTTTCTGCTACCACGCTAGAAGAGGTGGAGGATGACAAAGGCTACGGGAGCGTTGAGGAGCATACAGAAGTTATCACAGAGAACTCCCATGATGATCATGATCAGGAAAGTCCTTTGGTTGCAGATCACATCTTACCACATTTATGCTTTAACATGCTGGGCCCATGCGAGGAGATGCAAGATGATCCCATTGAAGAAATTGCTTGGCGACTTGCTCTCCAATCTGTTCTAGAAGAAGAAGAGCGAGCAAGGATGAGGAAGGAAGTTGTGGAGGATAAGGAAGAAAGAAAAGAAGAGGTGGTTCTTGATCTTTTCCCAGGGGAGAGACCACATTTTGAAGTAGGAAGGGGGGTTGAGGAAGCAATTGGCGTCCAGGCTGAGGATGAAGTTAAGGTGGAAGAGGCCTGCACCGGCCATGAGTTGCAAGTGATATCCCCACTAAACTTCGAGGAGCTGCTTAGCAAGGACCCATTTGCAGTGTCTCTTTGCCAGATCAAGGCCATATCAACATCGGTCCCTCTTGGTGGACGCGATGGTGGCCAATCGATGATGTCATATCTGGTTTGGGGCAATGAGACGAGAGAAGAGAAGAAGAGGTCTCGAGGGTGGAGACTTCATCTGCATCAAGTACATGAGCCTTCATCACCTGCCACACCACATGCTCGTGACTTGAGACTCCACCTCATCGACGAGAACCTCAACTTCAAGGAGGTTCTAGCATGGACCGAAACTTAGGAGCCATCGTCCGGCTCACGACGTGAAAGAAGCGCTTGTTGGGAGGCAACCCAACCAGTCAGTTTGCATTTCTTTCTCTATTTCTCCTTGGTTGAGTCAGTTTTGTTATTTGATTTTAGAGTCAATAACTCAACCTTTGTGAGATTTTGTGTGGTGTTTGTGTTCTGATTACTCTCTCTTCCTGGAATGCACTGCCTGGCCCGTACATCATCATTCACCCTTGATCTGGTAACTTCGTTCTACCCTCCTTATCTTTCCTCCATTGAGGACAATGTCGTGCTTAAGTGTGGGGGGTGTTCAATTATGTATGCGGGTGAATGTTTGGCTGTTTGTGTGCTTGGAGCCTAGTCCACTGTCCAAATTTTTAAATTTGAGGGCTCCAAGTACGTGTTTCCTTGCAAATTGCCTGCTCAGTATGCTTTGAATTGACAGTCTCTATAGTAATGTGCAACCTAGGGAGGTAGTGTAGCACTATGGAGGATGTTGAAGTATAAGATTTTTCCTATCTAGCTCTCTGTTGTGCCAGTTGATTTTGTGAATTAGTGGAGCTAAGACCGTTGAATTCATGTGGTAATGGTGACTCTGTTTGGATTATGTTATGGACTCGTGTATCGAACAGGGTGCTCATATGGAAAATGGGAAGCAGTTGGTCCTCCATGTCAAAATCATTAAATCTTAAACATGGGGTAAGCCCAACGTGTGCGGCACCGTTCATTGCAAAAAATCGGGTTTTGGAAGAGATTTTAGTGATTCTTAGTGGGGTACTCCTACAAGGTGAAGCTAAATTGTCTCTAGTACAAGTAAAACTTCCACCCGTTGAACGGTTTGCCTACTTGAGGATGTGTTTTTAAGGGCACGGATAGAGCTTCCGACCCCCCTTGATTTCATTGACCCTCCACACGAGTTGAGGAAAAGGAGTTAAAAGAAGTACTCAGGCGAGCGCTAGATGTACAAAAATTGCTCTTGCTCGACTAATAAGGGTCGACCGTGCAAAAGACTGCAGTTGGAACCCCCGCCAAGTGAATGAAAATGAAAAAAGTAAAATGAAAGTGAAAAAGGGGTTCCAACGGTGAAATGAAGTGAAAGAGCACCCCGGTACAACGAGTCCTTGGTAGTGAATGGTGGGAGTCCCTTTATCCATGAACTGACTGTCTTACTTCTACTTATTCTCATGATCCTGGCTTGAGTCTAGTACTCGCATTGAGAGAGATAGGGAACGTTTTAGAAGACCAGTTGACCTCGTAAGCTGCTATATGATCTAGGAAATCCTCTACCGACGATCGAGGTTGTATTTTGATATAGAGGTCTGGAGAGCTGCATTGGTTTGAGTTAGGTTTGCTTGGGGACAAGCAAACGGTTAAGTGTGGGGGAATTTGATGACTCGATATTTGCACATGTTTTCCCCTTTGTTTCTTGATCGTTTAAGCTTGCATTATTGCTTCTTTGGCCTATTTTACGCTAGCTTGTGTTCCTTTGTCACATTTCAGGCCCTAGCAAATAAAGTGAAGCATAGGCGCAAGTTTCAAGTCAATCAGAGATCAATTGGCGATTAGGGAGAAGAAACACGAGCATGACCTGAAGAAGAATGGATTTCTACCTCACTTTATGGACAAAGAATCATAGAATTTTGTTATGAAAAGAAAGAGGACGAGACTACGAGCGTCTGGGTTCAAACGGCGACTGATTCGGAGTCCGGACGAGGGAGAAACGAAGCTTTGAACAGGGGTGGAGGAAGAATTACGGGCAGGAGAATTACGACCGTAATTTCCCCTCCCATGCCCGTAATTTCACTGCCGAGAGGAGCTTTGGGTGCACTGAAACTTAACCAAAACGCGTGTTTTGGTCAAAATACGGGCATGGAAGAATTACGACCGTAATTCAGCCCGTAATTCGCCCAGAATCGGGTTTTTGAGGCAGATTAGAGCCAAAGGAAAGAGAGAGCTGGGTTTTGGATCCCAAACACCCAAGGGACGAACCCTAGAGAGAGAGAGCGACTTGGGAACATTCTTGGAGCTATTTTGGAGGATTTCTTCGCCATTGGAGCTCGGGAATCAAGCTTGGAGATGGAGATTGAAGATCTAGATCAGATTTCTGCAGTCTCTCTCTTCTCTATGGAGTAACTTCCCTTCACTTAGGTTTTGAGGAACCCTAGTTCCATGAGTTAGGATCTTTCTTGTATGAAGTTTTGGATGCTATATTGTTTGATTATAATCGAATGATGCATGTTTATTGAGTCAATTGAAGTCTGATCAACTTTTCCTGATTTCTGCTGCAACCTGAGATAGATAGAATCTGATTAGGTTGTTAGAGCCTCATCATTCGGTAGTAGGAGATTGGCTATACGAGAGTTAGCCAGTTTACTGCTTTGTACTGGAATCCAATTCCAGTAGTGGAGTTCTGTGCTTATTGCTTCAGCTTTCTATCCCGGTGAAGACTAGTCGTCTGTCGGATAGTTAGACTGAGAGGGCTTGGTCAGCTTAAGAGATTCCAAGCTACTGTCGGATCTTCCGCAGTTTAATCAACAGTAAAACAACCAAAAGGAATTACAACTTGGACCTAATTGAGGAGCTAGGGGGAATCATACCTAAGTGAGTTCCCAAACTGTAATTAGTAGTTTTACTTAGTTTAGTTAGTAGAGTAGTTTAGTTAATCAATCCTTAATCTAGTTTGCTAGATAATGAACTGAAGCTGAGTAATAGTAACTCTAGAGACCCGTGGATTCGATATTTATTACTTGTGCCACTATACTGCAGTCCCTTTCATTGGTTACACTTGGCCATTGTTAGGTGTTGTGTTTTAGCGTGTCAACCACCACCTCTGCACATTTTTCAAACACATGCCCAACTTTTTTAGGAACTACCTCCAACCCTCACATTATTTTTAGCAGAAACAGCAGAGAACATGCAAAAACCACTCCGTGGAACCTTCTACGAGATGCAAAAGGGTGATTTTCCATTATAAACCGAAAGAAAGAAAGTGACACGGCTCAAAGGGGCTGACTAGGGGGTATGACACACCAGGACAGTCAATTTGGTCGTGGGCTATTCCTATGCCTCCAACATCTTAGCTAATGACAATGTGAATGCTACACATCATGGAAGAAGGATCTATCGCACAAGAATGAAACGAGCAGGCTCAAATCTCGCATGGCTACCAAGAAGGATCTATCGCACAAGAAAGAAACAAGCAGGATTTATCTCTCATTATGATTCCCTAAACTAGATGCATAAACGACTTTCAAGAACAAGTGATAAATCCAAGTCACAGTTGGTAAGCAAACAGTTAAAAAATTGAACTCCTGCACAATTCTACTGCATGTCTCAATCATCATTATAGGTCGTCCTATTCACGATTCAGTTGTCATGCATTAATTCGAAAGCCATTCAATTCACCAATTAAATCTAAAGTGCCAATATGATCAAGCAAACAGCAGTGCTTGGAGCCCTCAAATCTCGAAATTTGGTTAGCAGACTAGGCTCCAAGCACACAGACTCATCTAGCAATCAACAACAGATAAACACCCCTCCCCACACTTAAGCACGACATTGCCCTCAATGGAGCAGAGGGAAAGACAAGGGGGAAACGATGTTACCGGGAATATGGACTGTCGGAGGACTATAAATGGGACGAGTCAGCAGGGCTAGAGTCATCAAAACACACTGGGTGATAGAAACCATAGTTCCAAGTGGACAAACCGAAAAACAAACGACATAAAAACAAACCTTGGTGGGGTTGCCTCCCCACAAGCGTTTCTTTACCGTCGTTTAGATGGACGCCAATAGGGTGGATGCTTAGAGAGGTGTAGGAACAGGTGCCTTCAAGAGCGGATCCACATTGCTCTTGAGGTGCAACTTTAGGTGGTGGCCATGCACATGACGAGTGTGACCACTAGCACTCGTCAACTCAACCTGGCCAACCGGCAGGATTCAAGCGAGTGAATACTCGGATGGCCAAGGCGGTCGAGGCTTAGAAGGAGGGACCAGCTCATAGTGGTCTCCGGCTTTCTTTTGAGCAGGCTTGGCTACCTGCAGTTTTGGCCGCCACTCCTCCTTGATATTGTCTTTTGGTAACGGAGTGGACGGGAGTGGCGGCGAAGATATGTGAGGGATCCTGCAAAATGGGAAGCACAGAAGGATACACGACAGACTCGTGCTCCTGGTGAGAAACAACATGCAAAGGCGATGAAGCAGGGAGCGTATTAGCAATGGAAAATGTTATTTGCTCCTCGCCATCCCTCAAGACTAAGGTCCCATCATGTACATCTATGAGAGCCTTGGCGGTGGCCAGGAAAGGCCTTCCTAGCATAAGGGGCACTTCTGTGTCTTCATTGATGTCCAAGACAACAAAATCCACAGGATAAAAGAATCTGCCAACCTTAACCAGAAGGTCTTCCACTATGCCCCTAGGATGAACTATAGATCGGTCAGCTAGTTGAATGCTCATCCTAGTTGCACTAGGTTCACCTAGGCCTAGTTTCTTGAACAATTTATATGGTATCACATTAATACTAGCACCTAGATCCGCCAAGGACCTCTCTACATGCAATTTACATATAGAGCACGGGATAGTAAAATTACCTGGGTCCTTCTGCTTCTGCGGAAGCTTGTTCGGCAGAATGGCCGAGCACTCCTCGTTGAGCTCCACAGTGGCCAGATCGCTCAGCCTTCGCTTCTTCGAGAGAATCTTCTTCAGGAACTTCGCGTACCTAGGCATCTGAGATAGTGCCTCCATGAAGGGCACTTGAACCTGCAGCTTCCTAAGCATGGACGAGAAGTTATCCAAACACTGCCTCTAGCCTGTCTTTGTAAATCCTGGTGAGAAAAGGGAGCTTAGTCTTATATTCAGCCACTACTGGTTGTGGCTTTAGAGCTTGATCCTCTGGCTCCTTTTCCATCACCAAGTCTTCTTCCGGCTCTGGGGTGATCTGGGTCACCTTCTTGGCACTCTTCTGCGGTGCATCCGCAATCACAGTCCCACTTCTCAACACAATGGCGTGCAACCCCCTCCTTATGATTTATGGGATTCGGTAGGGGTTGACCAGGAAGTGTGCCAACCGGTCTGGAAGCAAGGGCATCTTCCAGGTGCCCGATCTTGGTATCCATATCCTGCACGAGTGCCTGTTGGTTTCTCTAGCCAGCTTCAATCTCCATGAATTTTCCTGCAGCCGCTTCCATGAATTGCTCCAATTTATTGAAATTTTGGGTACTAGTGCTCGCCAAGGTAGTCAGTAGATCCCTTAGTTTTGACACGGGATCGCCCCGTGCTGGGACCGATGGAGGTGCACCAGGTTGCTGGTACTGCTGCTATGGGAGCTGTTGAAAAGCCTGCCCCTGTCTGGGCTGATAGAGTGACTGTTGTTGCTGCATCTGGCCCGGCCGAGGTTGGTATGGCTGCCTCTGGTTTGGAAAACTAGTGGCAGGAGCATGGAAGTCAAGTGGCTTTGGATTGCTGTTGCCAGTCCAGGAGAAATTTGGATGCTAGCGCCATCCTTCGTTGTAGGTATTACTGTAAGGATCGTTGCGTCTGACATTTTTGATGAAGTTCACCTGCTCCTGGGGTGTACTGGACTCACGCATGGCCTGGCAGTCCTCCACAGTATCATGGGTGCTCTCGCACCACTGACAATGCATCGCCTGCTGCTGTCCTACCCCTGGGATCATTCCCGAACGATCGATGGCTGAAACCAGTTTAGATACCACCTGCACCAAATCAGATGACTAGGTGGCTACAGCATGCACACCCCGCCCTGGTGCTCGTCTCGATCTCCTCGCAGTTCCCCAATCATAGCCCTGCTCTGCCATCTCCTCAAAAATTTGATTCAGCTGTGGCGGTGTTTTGGTGAGCATATTCCCGCCACAGACCGAGTCAATTAGCTGCTTGTCCTCCGGGAAAAGGGCATGGTAGAAGGTACCCACCTTGAAGGCGTCAGTAAAACCATGGTTGGGACACTTGAGGAATAGACTAGTGTATCTCTCCCAAGCATCCCAGATGGTCTCATCTTCATCCTGAGCAAAGTGGGTAATTTGCTTCTGCAGGTCCGCCGTCTTGGACGAAGATGGTAGCGAGTGAGAAACTTATCCGCCAGGTTGGCGAACGTGGTGATCGAACTTGGAGGTCGATTGTCTAGCCACTCTTTGGCTTGAACCTTTAGGGTAAACGGGAAGTACCTCAGCTGGATTGCATCGGCTGGGACCCCATTGATCTTAATTCCATCGATGAGCTCGTGGAATCGCCTCAGGTGTGATCGGGGGCACTCCCCCTCCTTGCGTCGGATGACCACCGAACCGCGCAGCATGGTAATGATAGAGGTGCTCACCTCAAAGTTATTCGCTGGCACATGAGGGTGCTGAATGGGCGACCTCATGTCCGCAGCTTTGGCGGTCCGGTAGTATCCCATGGTCTGCTCCTCAGGAATTACCACATCATTGTTCTGTGGGTCACCCATCTCTTCTTCGTCGGCGATTTGTAGCTGTGCTAGCGCCTCCTCCGCAGCCAGTCGCGCCGTTAGAGCCCGCTTGAAGTTCCTACAGGTCCGTTCAAGCTCCTGGTCTAATGGTAGTAAATCTCCCGACTAGCTACGGGTCATGCACTACCTGCACACAATCAGCAAAGGCAACCCGTGAAGGCACACAGGTGGAAGAGAGAAAATACACTAAAGAAAAAGCTAGAGTAAAAAACTTTCACGTTTCTCCAATAACCTAGAGGTTCCCCGGCAACGGCGCCAAAAACTTGACACGCTAAAACACAAGACCAAACTGCGACCAAGTGTAATCGCAGTCCGGAAATGCAGTAACATGCAAGCTCTAATTGTCAACCCGGGGTCTAGATCTACTGCCTATTCCGTGAATATCTATTATCTAGCAAACTAAGTCGAGTGATTGTGATTTTAACTAAAATCAGTAACAAAGCAGGAAATTGGTTCAAAGTTCTTTAGCAAGGGAAGAGTCACTCGGGAATGAGTCCCCCTAGCTCCTTAGTTAGGTCATAGTTGTAATTACTTTTGGTTTCTTTACTGCTGATTATACTGCGGAAGATCCGACAGTAGCTTGGAATCTCTTAAGCTGACCAAGCCCTCTCAGTCAAACTACCCGGCAGACGACTAGTCTTCACCGGGATAGAACACTGAGGCAATGAACATAGAACTCCACTACTGGAATTAGATTCTAGTACAAAGCAGTGAATCGACTAACTCTCATATAATCGATTCACTACTACCGATTGGAGAAGTTCTAACAACCTAATCAGATTCTATCTATCTCAGGTTGCAGCAGAAATCAATAAAAGATGATCAGACATCAATTGACTAATTCAAAACACTTCAATCGATTATAATCAAGCAATATCACAATCCAAACGTAATTACAATTAAGATTCCTAACACATGGAACTAGGGTTCTTCATACCCAAGTGAGAGAAAGTTCTACTCCATAGAAAGAGAGAGGGAAACAGAATACAAAGCAGTCATACTCATAACAATGGGAAGAATCTTCTCTGGAATGTCAATCTTCACTCCTGGGGATGCAATATGGGCTTCAATGGTGAGAAATCCACTCCAAATAGCTCATAGGGTTTGTTCTTCGCACTTTCTCTCTCTAAAACTCTGTTTTTGCTCCAAAAAGTCCATTCCCTCTCCTTTGGCTCGAATCTATCTCAAAAACCCGATTCTGGGTGAAATACGGGTTGAATTACAGTCGTAATCATGATCTGCCCGTAATTCACCCAAAACGCGCGTTTCACTAAACTCTGAGGAAGGTAATTACGGTCGTAATTACCCAATTACTGCCAGTATTTAAGTAATTACGACCGTAAATGAGTCCACTCTTGCTCGTAATTTGCTATTCGCCAGGAATTCTCAGGGATTTATGCTCGACATTGCATTTACGGGCATGACAGAAGCAATTACGCCGCTAATTGGGTAGGGGCTGCCCGTAATTCTTCCTCTGCTCCTGTTTAATGCTTCGTTTCTCCCTCGTCCGGACTCCGAATCAGTCGTCGTTTGAACCCAGACGCTCGTAGTCTCGTCCTCTTTCTTTTCATGACAAGATTCCATGATTATTTATCCATAATATGAGGTAGAAATCCATTCTTCCTTAGGTCATGCTCGTATTTCTTCTCCTGAATTGCCAAATGAATTCCGATTGACCTGAAACTTGCGTCTTTGCTCCAATTTACATGCTAGAACCTGAAATTTGACAAAGGAACACAACCTAGCGTAAAATGGCACAAGAAAGCAAAAACTCAAGCCAAAATGATCAAGAAACAGGGTGCAAACATGTGCAAATACGATGTTATCACCTCACCATCGACTACGTCTTCTTCTTCGACTGGAGCAACCTGGCCTTTTGCCCCTACAACAAGTACAGACGCCAGGTCAAGAAGATATGCGTGCTCAAGCTCCTCAAAGGTAATTCAAACTAAAATCTGTCTGTTGGGTTAAGGTTTCATGTATCCAGGGCTGGAGCCGTCGAGGTGGGAGGGTCGGGGTTAGCCGGACATCCATTCGGCGGACATGACAACCCGACCGAAAGAGGTGACGACAGGGAGGGGCATAATAGGAGGAGGCGAATTTGGATCTGGAGTAAGAGAGGAGAGATGGGAAGGCGATGGCCAGGCCGCCGATGCTCATCGCGGAATTCGGGGGTGAACGGGCAAGATAGAGGCGACGAGGAGATTAGGAATTTCATATGTGATTAGTTTGTTTTTTATTTTCTTGTTTTGAAAATTAATAGATAATAATGTAAAGATCATTAAATTACAATAAAGTTCAGTCAAACAAATACAACTCAACAATTAAATTGTCACGTTAAAGGCAACTAACGGTCAATTGGATGAAAAGGTAACGTTTTACCTATTATTGAACAAGTTTGGCTATTATATTTTATTTACCCATTTATTAATTTAGATTCATCCTAAATAAAATTCCCAATCTTTCTTCACCTTTTGTAATTTTTCCAAAATTCTCAACTCCTCTAGCCAATCCCTCTCTAATATGACTAGGGATGGCAACAAAACCCGAACCCACGGGCACCCACCCGACCCAATCCGGTCAACGCGGGTAAAACCCGTGTTGACGGGTTTTGGGCCGGGTTTGGGTTTAAACCCGCTACACTATTCACTGGGTTGAGTTGGGTTTGGGTTTAGGTAAACCCGCCCCATGGGTACCCGCCCACACACATATAATTACTTTCCCCGTATATTTAATATTCTAAATAATATTTCCTTAAACAACTAATATTCTTTATGTTTGTGGAGACATGTATAATTTGTTCTTTCTAATTGTTTCGAATGAAGTTGATATTATGAAGTGGAGAGTGAAGAAACTTAGTTGACGAGAAAGAAGCTTTCAATTAATATTATTGTTTATAGATGTTTATCTTTAATTTTGAACAATTTGTATTGATCATTTGCGGTTTGCTTGTATGCTCTATATTGGTGTTTTTTGTATGAATAATTTGTATGAGAAAATTGATATTAAACTTTTATTTTGAAAGAAACTTGTTATTATAAATTTTTTACCACAAAAACCCACGGGTACCCATGAACCCGCGGATACCCAAAGGGTTGGGTTGGGTTTGAGTTTTTCAAACTCAACGGGTTTTACCCCGGGTTTTTTTGGCAGATAAATCCATGGATTTAGATTTAGGTTTGACAAAACCCGCCCCAACCCGAACCATTGCCATCCCTAAATCTGACACGCCTTCATCTCTCAACATAAAAGCAGTGACCCATCTGCTCGTCTCCGCTTCCATCAATCCTTTTACTTTTTCTTTCCCACAACAAAAACCAATTCCCCCTTCCCCAAACACAGAGAGCAAAAAGAAAATTTTGAAAGCAAACAAAATCGTATAAAAAACTGACAAAAAATCACAAAAGGGGAAAAGAAAAAGGCATGTATGCATAAGACTCATTGCAGGGTTTATAGTTCTACTTCTAAAACTCCATCGCTCCATCTTCCCTCACTTCCATGTGTTCATCTTCTTCTTAGGGGAAACTCTTTGGAATTAGGAACAAAGAAACAGAGGATTCAGAAATGGAATTTGACCTTGAAAACCCACTAACCAGTCACCATGGCGATCACTCCGACACTTCAACTTCTCTATTCCTCGTCGAATCTGATCACATGCCTTCCCTTTCCTACTCCAAATCCGTCAGAACTCCCGCCGGCTTCGCCTTTTCTTTCCGCCAGGAAGCTGTTTCTTCCATTTTACAGGTACAGAGCTACCAAAAAATGGTCTGTCTTTTTTTTTTTTTTCCCTGCGAATCCCCTGTTTCGTTTTTCACGAGGATCCGGTTCCATTTCAGGTCTCTTGCTGCTTCGACCCATTTTTGTCCTATCTCGCAGTTAATTACCTCGACCGGTTCTTGTCACACCAAGGAATTCCGGTAATTATGAAGCACATTCAATCTATTAAAAGAAAAACAGAGTAGCTTCAAAACACATCTCAAATGTAAGTACTTTTTCTCCCTATCTCTGTAGCAACGAAAGCCTTGGGTGGTTCGGCTTCTCGGAGTCTCCTGTGTCTCCCTGGCAGTCAAAATGATGAACCGAACCAAAGAGTTCTCTCTCAATGACATTCAGGTCTGATAAAGGAAAACAGATGAAGAACCTTTTCAAAGAAATTCCTTTGTTTTTCTCCGATTTGGCTAACTTCGCTCTGTTTCTTAATGAATACAGGGGAATACCAATCGTGGAGGAATTATGTTCGACACAGAGACGATTCACCGCATGGAAACTCTAATACTGGGAGCTCTGAAATGGAGAATGCGCTCCGTCACTCCTTTCTCCTTCCTCTCTTTCTTCATTCATTACTTCCAACTCAAAGACCCGCCATTGAAACAGGCACTCAGAGCTCGGGCTACTGAAACCATCCTAAGAGCTCAGAATGGTAACACAAAATTTAAGAATTTTTTTTGCTTGGTGGGTTTCCGAGTTGAAATTAGACTGATCCCTTTTCGTGATTCGGTAAAATATCTTGCTTTTTTTTCTTTTGCAGAGGGCAAGATGGTGGGATTCAAACCATCGCTTATTGCAGCATCGGCTCTTCTCTCGGCGTGCCATGAGCTCTTCCCGTTGCAGTTTTCGTGCTACAGAGATGCTATCCTCAGCTGTTCGTATGTAAATAAGGTAAAAAAAAAAAAGAACCGGACTTTTTTGCACCTGCATGGAATTTGTTTATTCTCATACATGGACAGTTTTCGTGTATAATTTGTCTTGGTATTTATTGAGAGACCACTGTCGTCGTTGTTTTAGCAGACCTTTATATGTCGCAGCGCAGAACTTAGTACAGTGCATTTAGAAAAGAAGTGATTTGACCCAACAGAAAAGGAACTTCATCCATTCATTAGGGATACAGTCATACAGAAGAAAGAAAGTTGTTTCGTACTTAATTAATTTCATGGACTAGTGTACTAATTATAAATGTTGAGTCCAAATCATTTACACTTTACGTTATTAATTATAAATGTAGCCTAGCAGGAGTCTGAAAATGGAGTAAGACGGGACACATGACATACCTCAGGAGTCTGAAAATCGAGAAACAATACTTTCTAAATGTAAAAAATAAAAAAAATCATGATTAGCGAAATGAAAATATTCGACACATGCAAATTGTCACTTATTATGATAGTTATATTGGAGTAAATATACATGCGATAAGGGAAGGTAAAAGTAATATGAATAATGTCAGGAAGAATAAGAGGAAAAGAGGATTCATGCTCGTATTCGAGCAATTCACGTGACGGCTGTTACAAATAGTTCAAGTCAGGTTGAATGAAGTAATTAAGATAGAAAAAAAAAATTATTAATTCTAATTCATAACACTCAATTTAGTCAAGAATTAATTATAGAGAGATGTAACGTTTAGATATTTACGATGTTGTGTGGTAGTTTTATTGAAATTGAATTGATTTACGGGGATAATATATATATTCTCTTCAATTTTGAATCCCAGCCCCGAAAAAAATCCAAATTATATCTTCTTTTTTGTAAAAAGAATTGTGGTGCATGGCACAGGAAATGATGTTAGAGAGCTACAAGGAAATGCAGGAGCTGGCAATGGAAGAGTACGAGTCAGTGATGGACAGAGTGTCCAGCTCGGATACGCCGGTCAACCTGCTTCATCGCCACTTCTTCCCGTCTTCATCGTCGTCAGAAGAAGAAGAAGAAGAGGAAATGAAGCAGAGTATGAATGGGACCATTGATATTATCTCTACTGCTGTTGCTGCTGCAGCTTCATCCACCACTAGCAGCAGTATCAGCAGCAGCTGCAGCGATGGCGGTACTATTCGCCAAGTAGAAGCAGCTGTCGACGATATTATGATGACAAAGGCCATCAACAACCGCAACAAGTCGAAAAGGAGGAAGATTACTGCGGCAGCAGCCACTAATTACTGTAATAATAATCATGATAATGACGCTACTCCTGAAATCTCCCAACGGCTTTCTGATACCAATATTGCTCCATATCATCACCACTAATCATCATCTGCTCATTTCTAGAACTCTAGTCTTCTTAAGCTTCTAAATTAAATAAATAGGGAATTTGCTAATATGTGTAAAAAGGGAAAAAAAGAAATTTGAATCGAAGAGAAAATTAGAATTACATGGAGGAAATGTTGCTGGTACTTGAATTTTATTGATTATTGGGTAATGAATCTCCTTGTTAATTTAGTTATCGAACTGTTGGTTTTTTGTTGTTGTTAATTTTGCTTGTGTACGATGGAATGCGGGGCAGGGGTGGGAATGGAAACATGGAAAAGGACCGCAAGTCAAAGATAATCGGATAAGATAAAGAGTTTAAAAAAAAATCAAATGATTATTCTGATTTATTAGTATTCTAAGTTCGAACTTGGTGAGATGAATTTATTTAAGCAATGGGGAAAATATTTACCATTTTAATCATTTTTTTAAATTAGAATATAACACACATTTGGAGTGCGTTGCTAGTATATCGTATTTACTTGGTTATAGTTTTGAAATATTTTCACACAGTTTAATTTGTGATTCTTTTATGGTACAAAATTAAAGTTGTATTTGTAATGTTACGATACAAATTCAACTTATATCTAAAAGTACCAATGCTTTCCAGCATAGTATTTAAGCTAGTTAAACACACATAATTTGCTTTTTTCACAAAGTCATAAAATGTCGAGTTGAAAATTTGTAGTTAATTTCATGACAAATATCAGAGGTTGGCATAAATATGGCTGTAGTAGTTGGATTAATAAGATAGGTTGGACAATTAATGCTGTATGGGAGCAATCCTCAGTACAATTTTCTGATTAGGACTTTAACTGAATTCTAATTGTACTGTGAAAACTAGTCATTCAGAATTTGCCCTAGTAGCTAGTATGAGGAAAATCAATATTATTATTATTTTCTTCTTCTCATATGGATTCTTCTCAAAATCAATTGGCCCAGCCCCGTCGTCTGGATGGAAGAGATTTGGTTGAGGTAAGGGATAAAGAGAGAAGCAATTGGTCCCCTACAATTATAAACAAGGAGATTTCCTTGTCTTGAGATTGGTTTGGATCCAATGTTACAGATCCCTGTGTTTCAGTAACAGGCAGGTGATAGTTACTGTACTGTGTACTCTAGCTTTGTAAGAAAACAAAATCTACCGACATGATAAAAAAATAATAATTAAATTGTTTGGTTTCTGTATGTGGATTTAAGCTTTTCTTATTAGAGTATGATGAGTAGGTATGAGTGGTATTATTATTATTATAATTTGGTATAGAGGACTTACTATTACTTGTACTATAAGTCAGATAGTTTTATCAATAAAGAGTTATTATGAAAGTTAATCATTATACTTTATGTAAACTCTTCGTGATTACCTTGTTGCTGATTTGACTAGGTAAATAGAGGGCCAGAAGCTGTGTGGTCAACTAGCTCCATCTGTTCCACCCATTCTCTTAACGCAACCATACTTCCTGAGATAGAGACCTCATTAGAGGCTTCTGCAGGGTCCAGGATAGCATTGAAATCACCCCCTACCACCCAAGGAGACCCCTGCACCTTCCAATGACTCATCTGCTTATATGTGACAACCCGATTCTTGTCCTCATTGGAACCATACACCACTGTAAGAAAGAACCGTGCTCCCTGCTTCAGTGAAACCACCATATGCATAAAGTTTTCCTCCTCATCTAACACACGTAAGGTGACATCATCATTCCACGCGATCCAAATCCTTCCCAGCTTATGTTTAGAGTAATTATCCACAAATTGGTAACCAACAAACTTCCCCCTTATTTCCTCACTTTTCTCTTTGTTTTGCACTCTTGTTTCAAGTAAAGCAAATATCGAAACCCTATACACCTGAAGGCACTGAAGCACTGCATTGTGCTTCAAGGGGCCATTGAAGCCCCTTGTGTTCCAAACTAGCAGCTTCATTTGAGGGAAACAACCACCTTAGTGGTTCCCCCTTTACTTCGAAGCCCATCTCATCCTCCCTTCTTTGGAGGAGCTTGTAAGATAATGTCTCTTTGGCCACATAACAGTTCAAACGCATTAGAATGCAAAATAGGAGTAGGTACCTTCAGAGCATATTTTGGCTTTGCTCCATTAATCACCTTATTGAACTCCTCCTGAGAGGGTAAAGCACTCGGGGTAACAGGAGGAGTAGAATCCTCCATAACTTTCTTTCCTTTATCAACAACAGCTCCCTCCCCTGAATCCTGAGTAACCTCCTTCTCAGCAGTGCTCTCAGCCTCTAGCACATGATCCTCCCTCTTCTCAGTACCCTTAACCACAGGCTGCCCCAACACAAGAACTTTGGAACGCTTGCGCCGCCAAACTCTTTTAGTAGGAGACCCAGGAGGGGGCAAAGAGCAGTCATGCCCAAAAACCCCACAAGCACCACAACACCTAGGTAACCCACAATACTCAATACCAATGATAAACTCAGCCATATCACCTAGGTAATCCCATTTCTCGCAAGCTTATAGATTGATGGTTAATGTGGATTGGTTAGAGCAGTTTGTTGAATGTGTTGTTTAATTTCTGGCTCCTGATTTCTCTGATCACTGTGGGATTCTGATTACCCCTTGTGTCCCTTAAAAGTCTTACCCGAAACCATTCTGATATTTTATGTGGTTTTCCCATGATTCTTTCTCTTCATTACTGGAATCGTGTTGGGGGCAAGAAGTGAGGGGAACTTGGTTGTTTGGTGTTAAGCAGAAGTTACACCTTCTGAAAACAGAACTAGGGAAATTGAATAAAACAGAGTTCTCATATATTTCTGCTAGAGTAACGGAGAAAAAGATAGAGCTTACAACTAAACAGATCCAAGCTCTCCAGGTTCAATCTGAATAGGTTTTTGAAGAAGTTCAGCTTCTTGCTGGTGACTATGTGAAGTTGCAAAAGGCAGAGGGACTCCAACTCAGGGTTTTTCCATAAGTATGCTTGTATACGTAATGCCAGAAAGAAGATTAAGAAGATAATATCTCATAATGAGGAGGAGTTAACTGACATGAAGGACATTGTTGATGAAGCAATCTATTTCTATAAGGATCTTTTTGGAACTATATATTAATAAAGATGTGGAGGTGGACTGTGAACTTATTGAAGGATGATTGAGTGTGAAGCTTACAGATGCAGATAGAAGTATGCTTTGTGGGTTGGTGTCTTGGGAGGAGATTAGACAAGCTCTTTTTGACATGAATCCAGCTAAGTCTCCAGGTCCAGATGGGTGGATGACACACCAAAACACAACACCAATCTGTGACCAAGTATAATCGCAGACCGGGAATGCAGTAACAGGCAAGTTATATTATCAACCCGGGGTCTAGATCTACAGCTTACTCAGTGATTCTCTATTATCTAGCCAACTAAAGTAAGTGATTGTTGTTTAAAAACAAAAGCAGAAATAAAGCAGGAATTGATACGGTTTTCTCAAGCAGGAAAGAGTCACTCGGGAATGAATCCCCTTAGCTCCTTAGTTAGGTTCAATTGCAATTCCCCTGGGTTGATTTACTGTTGATTAGACTGCGGAAGATCCGACAGTAGCTTGGAATCTCTTAAGCTGACCAAGCCCTCTCAGTCTAACTACCCAGCAGACGACTAGTCTTCACCGGGATAGAAAGCTGAAGCAGTAAGAACAGAACTCCACTACTGGAATTGGATTCCAGTACAAAGCAGTAAACTGGCTAACTCTCGTATAGCCAATCTCCTACTAACGAATGATGAGACTCTAGCAACCTAATCAGATTCTATCTATCTCAGATTGCAGCAGGAATCAGGAAAAGTTGATCAGACTTTAATTGACTCAATAAACATGCATCATTCGATTAAAATCAAACAGTAATATCATCCCAAGTCATTACAATCAATCCCTAACACATAGAACTAGGGTTCTTCATCCCCAAGTGAGAGAGGGGTTCTACTCCATAGAGAGAGAGAGAGGAAAACAAGATACAAAGCAGTCATACTCATACTGATGGGAAGAATCTGCTCTGGGATGATGATTTCCACTCCTATGACGATCTCCAAGCTTGATTTGATGAAACCCAGCTCCAAGATAGCTTCTAGGGTGTGTTCTTCGTCCTTTTCTCTCTCTAGGGCTCTGTTTTTGCTCAAAAAGTCCGATCCTCTCTCTTGCAGCCCGGAATTGGGTTAAAACCAGGAAATCCCGACTCACACGGGCAGGGCCACACGGCCGTGAGGCATACCTAGTTGCCCGTGTGAGTCAAAACGCTGCCTTCCAATTAGTTAGATCTTCAGGCTTCTCACACGGCCAGGGTCGCACGGTCGTGTGTGACTTCCATCTGCCCGTGTTTGCTCTCGGCAAAACTCGCACGGCCAAGCCACTTCTTCACACGGCCGTGTGTGTTGTCAGGGCAAGCCGTGTTTGCTCTCGCACAATCTCACACGGCCACAAATATGAGTTGCACAGCCGTGTGAGTTGTGGGTGTGCCCGTGTGGCCTCCTTTTTGACATGCCTCGCGCCCGATCTTCGTCCAATCGACTCCAAACTCGCTCCCAAGCCTCCATTCACGTACTAGGACCTGAAATATCACAAACAAGCACAACCTAGCGCTGAAATCGGCCTAAAACACGAGAAATCACATCTCAAATGGTGTAAGAACAGGGGTAAAAACATGTGTAATTAACGGTCTATCAAACTCCCCCACACTTAACCGTTTGCTTGTCCCCAAGCAAATCAAGTCAGACACAAGGTAAGCTTACATATTTCAATCACTCAACATTGGGGACAAGTCATAAAGGCACAGAACACGTGAATCGTACTGGTTTTCAAACATCAATACATGAACAACTTCAAATAGCAACCTGGACAACCACCACCAAGGACATTCGAGTGCAGCAAAATCAAGTAAAGGAAGAGTCTCCCTTCTGTTCACCAACCAACCTAGACTTGACTCAACCACTTACTCAAAACAGTCAACTCATGCATCCAACTCAAGACATCAGAATAGAGACCGAGCAATCTAGGTCCTCACCGGGGTACAAGAGTATATAGAATATGAAAATGAATCACTCACTCTCGACCAGTGGGGTCAGGACAATTTGATGCGAAAAATGCGCATGTTATTTCTCTCAATCCCTAACATCTCTTCACCATGATGGCAGCCTCTAAACGCTAGAGTTCACATATGGGGTGTCACCACTAACTAATCAGGAGGTCTTAGACACAGGTTCAAATGAAGCTAGGGTCTTGGACATGGGGAAAAGGCCTTTTAGGTGGTGGAAGTATTCATAGCACAAGGTTCCACATTTCCAAACCCAAACAGTCACAGTCAAACAAACCGGTATTTCCTTTCTGCTATTCTGCATTACTCAATATCTCAAGAGTACAAGAGCGAAGGAGGTAAAAATGTCAGCATTTCCAAGCCAGACCGCTAAGAAACACTACTTACTGGGCATTATTCAGATTTTTGGTAGTGGCTCTCTTTGTTTTCAATTTTTCTTTGTTTTTCTTTCATTTCCTTTTCACTTCTTAAGAGAGCCACCACTTCTGCATATATTTCAAACACATGCCCAGCTCAACTTTTAAGCACTACCTCCAACACTCACATCAAATTTAGCAGAAACAGCAGAGAATATGTAAAAACCACTCTGTGGAACCTTCTAAAAGATGTAAACAGGGTGATTTTTTTTATTTCAGACCAAAAGAAAGGATAACACACGGCTCAAAAGGGCTGACTAGGGGATATGACACATCAGGACAGTCAAATTTGGTCGTGGGCTAATCCTATGCCCCCATCATCTTAGCTAGTGACAACGTGAATGCTACACATCATGGAAGAGGGATCTATCGTACAAGAAAGAAACGAGCAGGCTCAAATCTCACATGGCTACCTATATGCTCTATCTCACATTCTGATACCCTGAACTAGATGCATAAGAGACTGTCAAGAACAAGTAATCAATCCAAGTCACAGTTGGTAAGCAAACAGTTGAAAAACTAAACCCCTACACAACTCTACTGCACGTCTTAGTCCTCATCATAGGTTGTCCTAGTCACAATCAAGCTGTCATGCATCAATCCGAAAACCATTCAATTCATCAATCAAAACACAGTGCCAATATGATCAAACAGCAGTACTTGGAGCCCTCAAATCTCGAGATTTGGACAGTGGACTAGGCTCCAAGCACACATATATACATTCCAACCGATACAAAGCACCCCCCCACACTTAAGCACGACATTGCCCTCAATGGAGCAGAGGGATAGGGAAGGGGAACGATGTTACCGGATTGAAAGTGCTGGGGGACTGGAAGTGGACCAGTCAGCGAGAAACAAACGGGAAGATGGACAGTTCTGCACGAATCGAACACCAAGAACACACTAGCACACGGTGCGTTAGGGATAAGTGTTAGCCCAGACGGCTACAGCAAAAACAATCCACAAAAGAAAAAAAAAAGAAAAAGAAAAACAAACGACACTAAGTTCAAGCTCCTCACACATGGAGCAAACACACACAAGACGAAAACGAAAAACAAAACACACTGAAAGAGGCAACGAGTACAGCCTACTCGTCGCCGAGGTTGTCCAGATCGAAGACGATGTCGTTCATGAAGGCGTCACCACCATCAGCACCATCATCACCATCCGCTGGGGGAGGTGGAAGTGGGGAGTCCTCCCAGGGAGTCCTCCAGACTGGCTGCTTGCCCGGTAGCAGCTGGAGCAGATGCCCCCTGTACCTCCTGCATGCGCCGAGAGCGGCGCCTCTCCGACTCGATGTGTGCGAGAGTCACTCCCTGCTGGGTCTGGAGCTGGTCCAATCTCTCATCGTAAGCAGCCATCCTCTGGTGGTACTCGGCCTGGTGAGCCGTGTACTGCTGCTGGAACTGCATCTGAGGGTCGAGGATCTGCTGGTTCTGGAGACGCAGCTGCTCGAACTGGGAGGTGAAGTAATCCTGCCCCGGGAAACTGGAACTGCCACCCCCGTACTCGAAGGTGGTGGGGCGTGCGGCAGCAGTGTCATCCACGTCCTCGGGCTGGACCTCCTCATCAGCTGCACCCTCTAGAACCTCCTGCTGGACCGCCTCTGGGATCTGAGGTTGAGGAAACCCCTCGATCCACATGACACCTCGCTCTTCTCGAAGCAGGAGCATTTTGGTGAGCGTAGCCCGGCCAAAGGGAGTGGTCTCTCCCTGCTCAGTGCACCCCTGCAGGGATATCTGGAAGTACTCTGCCAGGCAGGTGATGAGGGGAGTGCAGTGGAGTTTCTTCAGCTCAGAAGCACTCTTCTCGAAGGTCCTCGCCACCACCGAGCCCAAGTGTAGGGGATGATCCCTCTGGCGCATGGACTGGATGAAGTACAAGGATCTCTTGGTGATGGCGTTGGCACTGTCTGAGGCGGGGGTGTAAGACTTGGCCAGCATGTGATGGAGGAGACGGTTTTCAAGCTGCAATGTGCTGGCCTTCGTCTTCCCTACCTTGAAGGGA